TTAGAAGAAAACAGTGAATTTAGACAGCTGTAACAAAAAACTTTTCATATCGTTCCCATAAAACTATACACTGATGTCTAGGTATTTTTCATAAGGATAAGAGTTACAAAAGCGTTCATAAAATCCTGATTTTTCAAGCGGCCAGTATAACAATAGAAGTAAAAACTTGGACCTTGTTTTGTCACGTAACAGAGGAGGAAGCAAGAGTTACCGGGAATGAAGGGGGGTGGGGGCTAAAATAAAAATCACAGAAATACCTACTTCTAAAGTATTCATGCTTTTTATTTAATAAAAATACCTTCCCGAAATATTTTAAAAATGTATTTATCCATCTAGCAAACCAGAAATGTTTATATAAAAAAATATGATCCCCCGTTAAAGCTCTATGGCTGAAACTGAAGAATAAAAGCAGTTTTCTGCGGTATTTGTGAGGTACAATTAAGCCTCACAGTGGTATATCATCTCATGATTTTAATCATCACACGTGACTTTTTATCCACTTGATCATCACGAAATTCTTACAACAGTAATTGGGGACATAAATTAGATTTCTTTCAAAAGAAGAAAACTTTCAATAGAGAGGACTGGAACAGATAAGAACCAACACATAAAAGCGCTGATGCATTAATTTCTCAAACAGAACGTCGAGGGCTGAAAACGGTCGTCGTGTTGTAAAAACTCAAAATACATTATACTATCACAGTGCATGTTTTTTAAATATTAACTACTTTACTCTGATTGAAACCTTCATAACGATTAGGGATGAAAAGCTAACCCTACTGAGAATATTATTAACGAACATTCGAAGCGAAATTTGGTATCTGAATATTCGGGGGATTTTTAATTTGTTAGGACTTTTTCTTTATGTCGTACACTGACTGGAAGTCACTTTGGTTCTCGGATGTAAAGTACAAGCAAATTTCAACAATTACAACCTCTGAATACATATCTTGGTATCTGTTTATCCATCATCCTAATCAATGAAGTAAACACAAGTTCGGTATTCACTACAGTACAAAACGTTTAAAACTCGGAATGTTACGATATTTTACACAGTGACTAAAATCCAGGAGTTCATAGGTGCTGCTAACTAGCTGCCTTCCATCTATTTCCATAGAAAATTAGTAACGGCTACGTGCATAGCATTTATGTATCTTTGAGCGGAAACACCAGTATGGTGTGGTCCAGAACGGCCTCTTCCAGCCCTACGACTGAGATTAACTGACCAGTGAACTCATTATGTTTAGAAAGCTTATGCATTAAAAAAAATCTATTAAAAAAATGTTAATAGAAAAGACACATTCCAATATGTCTTCAGTAATAAATTTTCTACATAAAGGTTGTACTAACCTGTTCTTTTATACACGAGATAAACATTGTGATACAAAATCACAATATGACTGATAAGATAAATGTTTCGCTCTTAATAGGCTCCGTACTAGTTTTGAAAATTCGACTACACTCTGTTAGTATAAGATCGCTGTCAATTTTGCGTTGATTTTTGAATTTCGCACAAAACTACACGAGGGCTATCTGCGCTAGCCGTCCCTAATTTAGCAGTGAAAGGCTAGAGGGAAGGCGGCTAGTCATCACCGCCAACTCTTGGGCTACCTTTTTTTTTTACCAACGAATAGTGGGATTGACCGTTACATTATAACATTCCCATGGCTGAAAGGGCGAGCATATTTGGTGGGTCGGGGATTAAAACCCGCGATCCTCAGATTGCGGGTAGAGCGCCCTAACCACCTGGCCAATCGCTGTCGAAATGGACTTTTGAGCAATACCTATTGGCAACCTGTGTCCTCTTAAGGACAAAATGTTCAAAACTATAATCAGTATTACTAGCCTCGACCCATATAACATTTACGATAGTTTTCATGCCCGTGCATTAAGTCTCCTTATTCTATCATTTTTACGCACGACATTTAAGATATCTTTTCTTGCAGGCATTATGTATTAGATCGATAAACCCTCGTCTATAAGAAAAAATATATATTACGCGGTCAGACGTAACTTTATTTAATCCTCCACTATGGCCATCTTTTCCTGCGCATGTCACGAGGTTTTAGTGAGATACATTCAAAATTTGATTCAACTACTTGCTTATGATAATATACAAATAAGTACAGCATAAAAACGTAGCTAATAATCCATATCTTAATAGTATACAAGTTTTAAGTTCTTACATTTAAAAGGCAATATTAAAAAAATACTGAATTTTCTCCTAGTGTGAGAATTTCTCACTAGATATCCCCTCTTCTCTAATTTATTCACCACCCCTTCAAGAAGTACGAAACACAACGTAAATTACTCATTACAATTTAGTCAAGTCAATACACAATCCGGACTCCTCGGACAAAGGCCTTTCTAATGATACGAGATTTGTGGCGTTTAATCGAGAAATTTGCGAGAAAAGTTCTGGACAGACAGAAAATCGCAAGAGTATTATTGATATAGATTGTTATATTTCATTACATGTTTATCATCAAATCGTTTCGCGTTACAGATAAAACGTTGTATGTTCCAATTTTGTTGGCCCGAGGAGATTAAATACTGAGCTGAATGGACTTGTCGCCAGTGGCATACAACAAACAGTGGGTAAAGCTGAAATGATATTTAACATGCTTTTACCATAAATCCGTAATGAATCAGTTATGTGTGATATGTTCTAAGCATCGAACTATGGCAGGTCATTTTTACAACGTTTCTCTACATTTAAATCTACTCTATGTATGTAGCACAAGGTTTACAGCAACAAAACTTGTGTTCCTTTGTCAATCTGTGTACCATGCTTATGTACTGTGTTCACATTTATTTGTATAAATCACAGTATGGTAATTTAAGACAGACGAAAATTAAAAATAACTGGTATACTACTGTGGGACAACTAACTCTTGGACCACTCTTTGGTATGGATGTCTTGCTGCATGCAACTTCCCCCACAAGATCATGTGACAAAATATTAATATTTTAACAGGCCCCTCACGAGGCAGTGGGAGACATTTTTGATGAAAAACAAACTGCCCAATCCGGTTTTTCTTAATTTGATCTGAAATTTTGTGGATGTTTTTATGAGCTAAAAATAAGACATTTCCCGCACTCTTTTATTGTTGCGGCTTCGAAAAGTGATTTGAAGTGGTAAGGTGACTAAAATCCGTCAGCGCATCACGAGTTTAACGGCCAAGCACAAGAAGCACAGAAGTCTCCAAATGACACTCAGAGGTATTCAAGAACCGTTTAGAACCATCCTGGTAGATATTGTGCAGCAAGCCGAGTACAATATTATACCTGTAGCTACTTTGAAAGTGTTCTTGTGTACTCATCCTACTGCTGACTATCGTGATGCTTCGATCTTCCTTACAGAATCGCAGGTGAAATCGTTCGTATCTCAATTGAAAGCTAAACATAAAAAAAGGTGATAGCAGAAGCATAAAAGGTTGGCAACTGCTTAATTAACGATGCTGAGAATGTGGCTTTATTGATATATACTGAATTGACTCCAAGCAGGTAGACCTTAATACTAGCTAGTATGAAGACTTGGGGATGGTGTATTTCACTTAAAAAATTATCAATTAACAAACGAAAACTTGTCTCGAAAAGATACGTCCAAAACCACCCTCTTTGGAAGTTTCCGGATTGAACTTACTTTTAATATTCAACAAAATTGTAGTGTAAAGACACCCCTTGGCTTCTGAAAGACGTGTTTAATTAAAATCTTTATAGTGATTAACTGTTCTTTTAAAATTAAAAACTAAGCCATTCTTACATCATGATTTATTATCAGTAAAATAAACAACTGGTAATCTGGATTAAGCTCAATGTTTTAGCCAAAGTCAATTAAATTTCATAATTGTTTATTCCACAAATAATCCACATGGACACATCTTTATATATATATGTGTGTGTGGAATGGGGTGTGGTCGAAATTCAAAATTTTAGCGTCCTTTAGCTTCAACTGTCCGTATTTTGAATATACAAATCAACGATATTTAAATACACATCCTTGAGGAACAAAACTGTATCTATAAATTTAAGGGAAATTTAAATGGTATGCCTCTGTGAACAGAAACTTTCCTATGTTTTAACCTATATTTCAGCTTTAAAGTTTATAAACATGCAGTAAGAGCAAACGTATTTTGAATTAATTAAAAATTAGGTGTATAAACAGAAGCTAATGTTGAAACAGTCCTAATATTTATAACTGTACTGACTGGACGTATTTAGATATCAAACATCAAAATATTGTACGAACACTAGTTTGTATTCATGTATTTTCGTTACTGTTATTTTGATGCAAGGATGCATAAATGGCTCCAAGTGTTGTATCCACAGCGAATATCGAGCACAGAATTTAGGCGTTATAAGCACTCGAGCTTATCATTGACCCATCGAAAAACGTTTCTTTGTCATATAAGTAGAGTATAGACTTTGAAATGCGAGCCCCATAAAACTATCATGGGGTTGATATTTCACTAGTTTGCATTAAATGCGAAGTATGATACTTAATACATCAATTACTGTTTATAAAGAAATAAACACTTCATATGATATTTCGTTTCTTTTAATACCGGCGTATGTTTTAATTTGCAATAAACAAAGTTACTAATTTCGGATACCTTGACTGTCCACCTATATTTACATATGCATATTTCTCGCGTTTTATCTTTCCGACAAAAGCGATATGGCTTTTATTATTTTACTTTAGAGATTCTGCCCTTACTGTAAATTACCGTTAAAGTCTACTTCAAAGCGCTGTTATTATATAATTTCTCTTAAAAGAAAGCAATTAAGCTGTAGTAAATGTACTATGTACGTGATTAAGTGATAAAAAAATAGTTCATGTACGTGATAACTAACAAGTGTTTTTCATCAGCGAACAAACAGCTGCAGCCACCTGCTAGTCGGGGTAGACAGACAGAACACATGTGGTGAGAACACCCGCAAGTCTCATGAGTACTTTAGTTCTTGCACGTTAGCAATCTCTCACATAACACTCACACTTGGACCATTCAGCGTCCACAACCCTTTAGACCAAAAGTATTAGAGACAGGAAAGGAACACTATTTCTTGGAGAAATGCTACACGTAACGATTATTATTCTTTAACCCACGTTTTTACACTACTATTTTAAACACTAACAAACTACACATACTTTTTTTCTCTATAACATGAAATACCTGTAGCCTGATGATGGACTTAAGTAATCTCGAATATTTACAAACTGTTAGAACAGAGTGTACAAATGCCATTTTACACTAGTCTGATAATAACACACAGTTGTGGATGTTTTAATACTATTTCCTGAAGATCGAGAAATCAATACACCCTTAGTTTTCAGCTACTTTAACAGCAGACTTTCTTACACGCAAAACGACATTTGTCAGTCCTTTTTTGCAAATTAATATCCGTGTTTGAATACATGTATGTGTAAAAGATTTAATGAATACAATGCAGTTAATATTCTGGGTTTGGAAACACCACGAAGTACGGCAAAGAAAGCATCAACAATTTCACACTAAGACAAAGCTTTATATTTCATCACCAGTTCTTTAAGTAAGCAAATACATTTAGAGAAATAACAGTTCAGAATGCTTTGTTTTCATCATGACTTACTCTGAAGATAACTAGTTATATCTGTCAAAAGGCCTAATATTACTTGGAAGTTGGAGTTTAGTGACTGATGTACATATAAAATAACTACAATTTTACACATTTCTAACCATAAGCCTTTGCATGGATTTGTATTACACGCGTTTGCAACAACACATTTTCTACATGTAAAAACACATTATGATAACTCAAAACGTCTTTTTAAGAACAATCCTTACCTTTCTTCTACTGTAAAGACCGAGTACAAAATCAAGTAGTCCTTAAAAATTAACAACGATGTGTAACAGCGTGACATCAACCGCTGGAAAATCCACGGTTAATGATGCCCCGCATATATCAACCATGCACATGACACACACAGATCGATGCAGGCACGCCTGAGATACCTCGCTCCAAGCACTAGCATTGACGCGCGTGTCATTTAGCGCCCTCTAGTAACCATCATTATAAAATGACATAACAATTAATACCTTGTTTGTTATCTAAATGCTAACGAGTTTGGAAATTTAAAAACAAACTATAAATGTATCCCACTACGGAAATAGATAATTCGACATGACTTTCAATCCTTATGGATAAATGATAGAATTACACATCAAGAACACCAAACTTAAAAAAAGTAACCCCAACTCCTAAATAAAGAATAAAAAAAAATTGTCACTGGCTAATCATAAATGGAAAGCTTATAATTTGGTGCAGTGTTAAGTTCTCTTAACTTTATTTCCAGAAAATAACGAGCCCCTTATTTTATGGGTTATACGAAATGAATAATCTCAAGATTATTCATCATATAACATACTGTAGCTGATTATAACTTTAAACTAAAAATGGTTATCTTTGTTGTCACGCTGTGTGGATCTCACGTGGTTATTAATGTTAAAAAAACCTCCCATCCAGCAATGAGTTGTACAGCCCTGACCCAAAAATTGAGTTTTTTTCTTTTGGTCCATAACCGAATTATTCACTAGTTTGTTGAATAAACATTAAAATTTCCGGGCTTATACACATAGGAATTGCCATCGTAATATAAAACCTGTAACGTTGAACGACTCTAAATTAGACTTCTAATAGGCAGACACAGGTGGAAAAAAAATTAAATTTTGATACGTTAACATCACATATCGGAGAAAAGTTGTTTCAGTTAACGTTAACAACCTTGTTGCCCGTACGTTTACATCCAAACACAGCACAATAACAAACATCTAAAAGCACGTGAAAACTTACTTAAGACTTCTGAAAACTGGGGATTTTAAACAAGCACACACACTCACAAACGCAACTTTCCAAAGGCCACTGCTACTCTGATAAATATATCACTGCGCATGTGCTTACACACTATAACACGTCACTGCTCCATATTTGGTTAATCTATTTTTATCTGCAGCTGTGGGACAGTTTACGTTTTTTTCTCTCTCTCTCTGTTCACATGTATGTATACATTGCACTTAGTCTCATTGTAAACTACTATTATTTTTTACTTCAATTCTTAATTATATCTTGTATACATGTATGTATGTATACATTTAGTCTCATTGTAAACTATTATTAATTTTCCACTTCAATTCTTAATTATATTTTGTGTACTTGTCACAAATTCTAACAACAGTATTTATGTAGAATGCTGTGGTGACATATCTTATTCTAGCATTGCGAAAAAGAGTCCGTTCGAAACGTCTCTTAAAAATATCCTAATTTAGACGTGGTCCTACCGTTGTTGATTTGTTCGTTTAAGTACATCTCGTAATCCAAGTCTTCCTTCTACAGAAAGTTAGCTGTACCACGTGGATCCCGTTCTTGACCAGGGTTTTTAAACTAATTTTAAAAACGTGCTATCGTGAAGAATATAGATGTTTATTTTATTGTTTTGTATCCTTATTATTACAATGATTACTGAGCGATAATGAGACTGAAAATAAATCTATGATAATAGATATGAAATGCATGAAGCAAAGGACTAAAAGCGTTAGTTTAAGAGATAAACAAGTAAACTTTATATTTTTATTTTTTCGTTCTGATTATTCTTAAGTGCTTGTGATAACTGGTTGAGTTTTTAATACGGAAACTATTTATTCTTTATCTATAAATCTGTTATAATTGGAAACCACTGTCGCTACTGTTGTGCTTATAACACTACATCATGTCTCATACGATGGTGAAGTTGGAATAGAAGCATAATTAATAAAGTTTGCCAAAGACATTAAAACTCTTGGGTATATCTAGTTGTATTGATGGTGTTGAGATTCAATTGGTAAGTTGGACAAATATGTGACATCCGATCTTTAATCATTGTAAGTATAAGATAATGCATTTGAGTTATCATAAATTGGATCACACGTTTAATACAGACGGGAACCCACTTAGTGGCATGAATGAAAAGGATTTAGGCATAGCGATAGATAAGTCATTCAAGCCAACGAAGCAATGCCCTGTTGCCAGTTGTATTGCTCATATAATTTTAGTGTTTTTTATAGACATAGTGATTACAAGCCAAAAGAGGTTATTATTTTTCTATACAAATCACTAGTTAGGCCTCACTTGGAATACTATGTACAGTTTTGTTCTCCTTATTTATAAGAAAGGATATTGTCTAATTGGAAATGGTTCAGGGGAGGGTACCAAGAATGATTCAGGAGCCAAAGGTTATCTTATAGGAATAGGTTAAGATATTCTAACTTATATAAAACAGTAAAAAAAAAGGACCATGCCTTACTGAATAAATTACAAACGTCCAAATTGACAAGACATGTTTCGGCACCGTGGCATTTTATGTGATGGTCAATCCCATTATTCGATTTAGAATAGCCCAAGGGTTGGCAGCCTCCCTCTAGTTTATGACTCCAAAATTAGAGATGCTAGAGAAGATAGACACCAAGTAGCTTTGAACGAAATTCAACAGAACTAACATAATATTTATATACTCATGAAATATGACAATGAAATGTGATATGTTCAAACGCTTGGGGTTAAAATAGCAAAATACAAATTTTTAACAATAAGGAATCGGAAAATTTTTAACATGAAAGGTATCTTGTTCACAAGTGGTCTAAATGTCCAGATGAGAGATCACTATTGCTCAGGTATAGTCATACTTGATTTCTATATTCCAGAGGAAAGGTGGCCACAAGGAATTTCTTCAGATCGTTGAATTTAATAACGGGATTGACTGTTAATTTTATAACGTGCACACACACCTAAAGTGCAGAGCATGTTCAAGTCTCGAACCCCGAACCCTTCGACTCGCAGCCTGACACTAGAACACGTGTGGCCTAAAAACATTATGAAAGCATACCAACCACTGTAATTGCATCTCAAGTTACCACTCTACGATACTTTGTTGTTCATGAATCAATTCATGATAGATCAGTTGACTTTCAACACAACCATTTATCCTAGTGCTTTTCAAGTTTGGCATTGTTGTGCATGGCTCTTCTTCTGCTAAAGCTAAACTCGGTTTTCCGATAATTCTGAAGAGGTTGTAAAGCTAAAACTTGATGAGAACTTTAGATACAAAGGTATACTGTACTAAAACAAAACAATAAGCATGTTTTAAAAATAAAGCCAAATTTTCTGTTATAAGAGCTTCAAGATATTGTCATCCAAATCAAGTTAGCTTTTAAGCGACCTAATTTTTCAATGAGATCTTATTTTCTTATAAATATTTAAAAAGAGAATAACTGGTCTACAGCATACGATGCACCTTAATAGTTCTAACCTCATTGTCAATGGAATGGACTAGCGGTTTTGATCAGATACACTCCCCCATGGTAGAACAAATGCTATCTGGTACCATTGAACGAGACATATTATGCCAATTGTCCAAAATATATGATCAGCCAAAGTTTTGTTTGGTACAGTTTCCGGAAGTATTTCTAGGGCAAACCAATTAAGTGCCTAACAGACCATATTTTTCAAAAGTTATCAGTTTTAACGAAAAAACGCGATTATTCAGCCTAAGATACGCATGGTTTGTTTGTTTGTTTGTTTCGAATTTCGCGCAAAGCTACACGAGGGCTATCTGCTCTAGCCGTCCATAATTTAGTAGCGAAAGACTAGAGGGAAAGCAGCTAGTCATCACCACCCACCACCAATGCTTGGGCTACTCTATTACTAACGATGAGTGGTATTGACCATCACATAACGCCCCCTCGGCTGAAAGGGCGAGCATATTTGGTGAGACGGGGATTCGAACCCGTGACCCTCAGATCGCGAGTGAAGCGCCCTAACCACCTAGCCATGCCAGGCCCAAAATACGTATGAATGATAGGTCAATACTTAAAAGTTTTGTTACTGCTCATACACAAATATCTTCAACGAAGGCGCAAAATAAGTCATTTTCACACACAACTAATATAAAAAATACATTGGTTAAGACAAGAAATAAACGCTTACTATCCAAATTTCTTTTGTTATTTTTTTGATGATGGTATACTGAATTTTGCTCCATCGTGTATTTAGATGCGTTCTTCCTTAGTATCTTGAATTGTAGTGTTACTTTGTTACCGATTTATTGTGTAATATATGCATACACAGGCAATGTGTTTATAATGTAATTTGTTTCCAGTTTTTCGGAAATCGTACTTTGATCGAAATCAAATTGCTATCAGCAAACAAACTTATGGGGGAATAAAAATATATAAAAACCTTAGCCGTCATGTCATTCACTGATTCAGAGTGTATGTTACCATATATGTATTTGTTTTTATAACAGTGCAAAACGGGCTATCTGCGCCCTGCCTACCGCAGGAATGGAACCCCGGATTTTTGCATTATAAATCCGTAAATTTATAGTTGAGTGTTTTCTTATAGCAAAGCCACATCGGGCTATCTGCTGTGTCCACCGAGGGGAATCGAATCCCTGATTTTAGCGATACAAATCCGAAGACTTATCGCTGTCCCACCGGGGGGACCTTACAGCTGAGTCACCAGAGAATGTTACTACTTATATATATATATATATATATATATATATATATATATATACACACATATATCGTGACTAAGTAATTAAATTTTAATAAGTATTAGTTACTTTTAGTATATATTAGTAATAACGTACTACTAACGTAACTAATA